TTTTTTCACCTCACAAGGAAATTTGCACGTGCATCTCATGAGTTCGAACGAAAGATTTGCTCCAACTAATTCTTGTTAATTTTTGAGAGCTTGATGAACAACAATAAGTCACAGAAATACAAGGCATATATATTTTAATAATGAGTTTTTTTCATAACATTATGGTTCAAAACATTGCCAAAATGAGCCATTAGAATAAACAGTTCAACCTTCTAAGTATTAAAACTAAATCAATTTATACTGGTCGAGTTAAAGAGGCTATGCAATTATTTTGAAATGTCATTAATGCTGTAACTCATGACAATATATTTATTTATTTCAAATGGCAGGCATTTTGATAGTTATCATTAGCCCTTTAGTTGATTTCGGGCTTCACAGAAGGAAGGAACATTAAAGTGAGAAAAATTCGACAGGGGGAAAGAAGAGCGATTCACAGATGTAACAGACAGACAGACACAAAGGCAGAGAAAAGGCTAGATGAGTACTGTTGTAGTAGTGGAATATGGCATAGAGTGGGGTTATGGAAGTTTGAAGTCAGAAGTCAACTGCCAGTTAATAGACTTTTTTGCCGTATGAGTATACGTTGCCCAGGGTGAACCACGTGGAGGTAAGTCTATCGCACACCCCAAAACCTCATGACAATATAAAAAGCTTGCATTAGATTTGTTCACGCGATCACACCTTAAAACGCGAATTACTATAAATGACTAACAGAGGTGACAATGGGTGTCATCGACTAAAACACAATTTTACTTGCCTCTTCATGCTTTTATTGCACTTCAGACCTACTCAGGCGCTTAGAAGAGGAAGTCAAGGTTAATCAATTTCTTGCCACTGAGAAACAACCAAAAGAAATAGCCGAAACCAAAATATACCTAGAAGATCTGACAAGAGTTGCGAGTCATCCTGCTCTCACATCCACATATCTCAATCAACTCAATCAAAAAGTAAACAAAATAATTAGCAATGAAATCATTTTTTACAGTTTTGTGAGACACAAGAAGAAATCAGCCAACTGATTGGAAAGCATATGATTGAAAATGATCCATTTGATGACAAAGCAATGATCTTTCGTCAACAAGCCAAAATTGTAGCTGATCGGAAGGCTTTGACAGCTTCAACTCTAGCAGAGACAAGAGCGAAACACCTGGCTGTCTCCAAACAGCTTAAAAACACAAAAGAGAAGCCAACAAATGATTGTGAAGAAATGAACCATTCACAAAATGAAAGTGTCGTTACCATGAACATATCTCAAATTTCAACTGCTGGAGATGTGAGTTATAGATGGAAATTGACTTGCTATTTAATCTTTTTTCTTAAACGGAGGAACGCTTTTCATACAGGATATTTAATCCTAAAGTGCTTGGTTTTCATCTACAAGTAAATTATTTATTAATTTCTGTCAATCGTTTATTCACTGAATTTTTAGTTTTGTTACCATCTATTAACGTTTCAACATGTTGCGCCTTAGTCTATTCTTTATAGACAATTTTTCCAGTGTCACTATTATTTTCATTATTATTATTATTACCGAATTTTTACGTAATTTGAATCTATATGCCTTGAAAGCTATTGAAAAATTCTTTTTCTTAAAATGTTTCCAAAATTATCGATTAATTATGGCTTTTGGCTTGAGATATTTCTGAATAAGAGTTTAGAATTTGAAAAAGTATTGATATTTGTGAACGAAACTATTATACGCTACATCGCCAACATATTTTGTTTTGATAGTTTTGTTTAATTAATTGTGAAACAGTTACAATTGAATTCTCAAGTATTTTCAACTTAAAAGCTTTTTTACGTTGTTCTCAAATTCAATTTTGATTTAATATTAATTTTTTATATAAATTTTACTACGTCAGTCTTTTCCGTTGTAAGAAATCAACGAATAAAATAGAACTATGTATATTGGGAATAATTGAGGTTAAATCATAACATACAACTTATTTAATCATTGACCGTATTTATAAAATATTTTTCATTAAAACAAACAAATCAAGACTCAATTTGTAATTCTGTGATGATCGTTACTAGCCCTCACACTTTGGTAACTTATTTTTCACCCATACAATCTGTCAATGACCTGACATCATCTTGAATACCTAAATGCTTGGGATAATTTGTTTAAAAAATTTTTCCTTTTAATTTTCTGTGTAGATAATAGCTCATTATTTTGCTTATATTTCATTAATAACCCAGTCTTACCTACAACAGTTGGCTAGTTAAATACATATCCATGAGACCAAGAAGGGTTTAAAAGGAGAATGGTTGAAAAAAGAGTAGCCGGTGGTGGTAAGGCATTGAGACCCATGCTTTATTAGATAAATTAGGTGTTTCGATTGGTCATTTTCTTAAAAGTAGCGCAAGTCTCGTTGAGTAATGCTCAAATGTTAGAAGTTCATGACGTGACTTCCACAATATATCCAAAATACTCTGATCTTGGTTATCACAAAGCGTATCAAATGCGCTCTTAGGCTATTGACACAAGTTACTCACTACGCCATCAGTGGCATAATCAATACTTTGTAGTGGATTGCTTCACAACTCAGCCTGAACAATCTTCAGTAATCCCAATATCAAGAGACTATATTGATTGTTTGATAGGTGACGCCATAAAAGAGTACTGAGTACTTAAATGCTTAAGACGCAGTAAGGTTATATGCAACACTTTCGAGTTTGCAAATCATTAAATTGAGTTATAATGGATGAATGCAATGACTCCTAACAGAACTGCCAAACAAGTACCAATTCCAGGTAGGTTATTAAAGCAGGCTATTGGTGGATAAAGAGTAAACCCTGAATTTATCGAGTTTTACAATAATCTTCATGGCGCCATTCATACCCTTTAGAGTTATGGGATTGGCTGTTAGCATTAGCGGCTGCATTTATCTTGCTCGCTAATTGTCAAGACACAAGTACGATGAAATGTTTTTTATGCAATTTTGCTATTTGGGAACTTACCAGGAATAAATCGTTAATACTTGTAGTAAATGCGGATGGATTACGAAAGGCAGAAATTCTGTAATGCAAGAGAGCGTTTCGCTTACCTACCGTTAAGAACTGTCCAATTTAGATGTCAGAAGAGGGTGTTTAAATAAATTTTTAAACGCTGTGTGACACACGGAGATCTTACCATTCTTCTGACTTGAAATCTGTTTGATTAAATTGATACAATTTTGGTAACCACAAAAGTACGAATTATTCAGTGTGCCTTTCAAGTTCAAAAAAAATTTGTTAGAGTTGAAATCTGTGCCGCATAATTATAGGAGTATATGTCCAAAGGATCACAAAATGTATTTTAAAATTCAAAATTATTGTATAAGCAATTTACATGCACTATTCCATAACATTTTCATAACTAAAATTTGTTGATCATTTTTAAAATTGAATTTACTTTCTAAACCCGAAATGTGAGCTAGACTTACCTCCACATAGGTCATCTTGGGCAACGTATACTTATACAGCAAAAAGGTCTATAAACCGACAGTACACTAGTGACTTTAAACTACCATGATCCGACAGCGTGTTATATTCGACCACTTCCACAGTACTCCCCTTTCCGTTTTCTCTACCTTTGTGTCTGTCTTCTTTTACAACAATGAATCATTGTTCTGTTCCACTTCACCACTTTCTCTAACTTTGGGGATCCTCCACTCTGTGAAGCCCAAAGTCAACTGAAGCACTAATGATAACTGTCATAACGCATGCCATTTGAAATAAATAACTTTCTTAACACCTCGTAAACCTCGATAAGGGATTTTACTACATTTGGGATTGTAGTTTCTCCCCCGATATGCAATTGAATTAAGTGTTGTCTTTTCTAAGTTTATTTCTGGAAATATATAGTGCAGTCTACCATTATATTTGCAGTGGAGATGGTGTTGATCTTGTTCTTATTTTGGCAATTCACATCAGCGAATACATTGACGAAACTATTTTAATGAGCTACCTTATCATTTGTTACAATAATTATGAAAATATTTGGGCAGATGGTAAACCAAAAGATATCTACACTTAGAGTTCACATTCTGAGATTTCGTTAATGGAAAAGTAGCATTTTGCTTTCCGTCTTCGTTTTGCACAACATTGAACTACTTTGATTTCATCGACTAAGGTCGAACTCTTTACACCTAGGCCACTAGCGCATAGGTCAATGATGATGTAAAAAATAATTGGTTATAATATGCATTATGAAAGTTTTATTATTGGTATTATTTTAATGTTAACAGTTTCAGAATCGCTCTACAAAATCGAGACCCGAGATTCAGACTTATAGGGAAAGTCGAGCAGAGCTTAAAACTTTGAATGAAGTCAAGGAAACACTAACGAAATCTCCAGATTTACATCAAGACGATACTATAGAATCGGGGAATGAAGCATTATATGCCATGAATGGATGCTTGGACACCTTGTACAAGTTGGAATTGTCGAGTTTACTATACCTTTAATGCCACGTTTTATAAACGTAATAGATTTTCAACAAAGTGCTCACTTATTCTATCTCAATCTTAAGGTAACTGAACTTTTACTTTAGCTCCTGAAGAGAGGCTTGGCCAATCAGAGAGGTGTTTCAATATTTGCAAGAAAATGTGCATTTTAAAGAAGTTGGGTGGGGGGAGGGGAGGGGCTGCATCTTTTTCACTTTACGAGACCTTTTTTGGAATGAATGATGATACATTTTACCAAAGAGTGAATGAGTTCGTCCACAAATTCATGATTGAACATAAAGAGTATTCATACGAAATGAAGAGAGAGGGAAAAGAGTGGACGTAAAGTGGGACATTCTAGAGGATACAAAACCGAAGTTGTTAGATTGAACACTGCAAATCAAATGAATCTCACGATCTATGATCATCTCGAACACCAAATCAGGAGCAGTTCATCAGACATTACTTGCCGCTGAAATTTATGCAACGAGTCAAAAAGTATATAACCTCAGTATTTGCCACATTAACATTTACTATTCTATAACAGAGTTGGACAAACTTTCAACCGTTGCCAAAAATGTGTGACTCTCTACATTCTATAATTTGATACGGTAACCAATTGGGCAACAATTGAACAAGAGCTTTAAAATAAAACCTAACTACGAAAGCGTGAATTTTCATCATATTCAGCGTATTGGTTTTAATTTCAAAACTTTTCTCCTTTTCAGGAATCTCAAAAGGCGAAGAATTCGGAAGCACATAGTGCAGTCCTTTTGGAGGAAGTGTCTGCGTTAGTGCAAAGGCTCCATCATAAAATTGACCTCAGTCGAGATAAACTATCCCCACTCATCAAAGAACTCCACTCCCTTCAAGAGAAAGTTCAGGTTAGTCTGAAAACAAACTGTATTCCTTTCTCTAAGCATACGCAAACACTTCGTTGCATTTTCTTAACACATTAAAAGTGGTAAGGACAGTAGCATAAGAAGTTGCTTATTTTAGTCACAATGGCGTGACCAAATCAACGATTTCCTTGTCATTTTTGTGAATTCCTATCGGCTACTTATTTACCTAAAATTAAATTTTATTCACTTTAAAAATTTTCAATTTGTAAAAGCCTTTAAAGTTTCCGAAGGAACCTGCGACTAAGCTCTCTGTTACTCTGTGCTGCGTCATTCCATGAACAACTTTACGGAATTATTAAAGAAAGTTTTAAGTCTGCTGTTTTAAGATGCGCTTACTACTACTATACTTCTACTGTGAAAGGTCTTTATAAGTCATAATTCTAATCTGATGATACTTCTGAATGTTTTGAAATTTATTGTGCTATTGCTAAGTGTAACAGTATCCATCAATGTCTTTTATTATTATTATATCATATGGCAGGCGTTTTGATTGTTATCATTTGCCCTTTAGTTGACTTCAGGCTTCACAGAGGGGAAGGAACATCAAAGTGTTAAAAATACAAGAGGGGGAGGGACAGAAGAGTGTATCAAAGACGAAGGTAGATAAGGTGGAAAAAAGGTGGGATGAGTACTGTGAAAGAAGTCGAATATGACATACAGTGGGGTCATGGTAGTTTGAAGTTAACTGCCAGGTAATAGACTTTTTTGCCGTATGAGTATACGTTGCCCAGGGTGTACCACGTGGAGGTAAGTCTATCACACGCCCCCATCAATGTCTCATTCGTATTATTTTACACTATTTGGAGGTTTAGACTTTTGAATTCTAATGCTCGAAAATGTACTGCCAAAGCTGAATGTTTAAAAGGAACATGTAGTGGTAAGCAAAATCACTCTAGTTTTCGCAAATTGTTCCAAAATCAACAAACATAGACTTCTATAAATGATTCTTAAAATGATTTTTTTCAGATACTGCGTTAAATTTAATAGCTATGAGCCAGATTACTTTCCTTTTCAATATTAAATTAGGCTAAGTTTACCCTCTCCCCACATGACAGTCACAATTGCAGAATATCGTCTATTTAGCATTCCTCACCTCTCTAACCCCCACCCTGTGATTTCGCCTGTGCAAGCTCACACGCATCACTTCGAAGACAGTGAATGAATTTGCTTGGGTTATCCGCGTTCTCCGTTCTTTGCTATTTTCTTCTCCCATTAAAACTTTCTTAAATTTTAAATCTTAATAGTCTTCATTTCGCTCATCCATGTTCATAATTTGGACACTGTGTGGTTTTTGAATGCTAACTTACTTGCCACTCTGTGGTAAATCTGTATACATCACCTTTTATGGTTGCCTTAAAAGCTTTATAACAGTGACAAAATAATAAATTAAAATGAATTTTTTTGCGCTTTATTATTTTTCGTAAATAAGATTATGATGGCAATTAATCATTAAATACTTATGTATACTAAGCAGGAGTGTATATCGACTCCTGTTAAATTGATTTTCAATTTTCGAAAAAAATGAACA